ATCAGCTATATATTTTTAGTGCAGAAAATAGTGTTGGGGAGGAGAAGTTCTCTTCTACCCCTTGGAATCTTTGGCTGGGTCTAGGAATTAAATTGACATAAGACAAAATTTTTTTTTTAATTTTAAAAATTACAAAAAAGAAAAAAAACCTAAAAGCAAACAAAAAATAAATCGACACAAGACAGATTAACAGGAGAAAAACACATGTTTTATTAATTTTTATATTACATGGGAAACCTCCATAAGAGAGTAAAGACCAGATTGGCTGAAGCAGAAAGCTTTTATACTTTTTAGACAAAAATGATAAATTTGTGAAGGAATGACAAGACAAAGGCATTTGGGCTAGGGGCAGTAAATTGTGGGGAAATCACTAGGAGATATATGGGTGGCATAAAGCTAGTGGATGATAAGTGTTATTTTAGCAAGTTTATTTGTACAGAACCATTACAGAATCAATTCCCAGTCTCTGGTGATAGGGTTATTTTCTTGTCTGGGTACAGGGAAAATAGAATCTGTTGGGAAAATAGAATAATTTAATCAGGCCCCCTCACCTGCCCAGTTGGTTGGGGGTGGTGTAGCACATTCTTTGTAAGCAAATTGTGTGTGTGAGTGGAGTTAGTACACCTGCGCTTCACTGTGGCTTGGCTGGCATGTGCCTCGAGCATCCACATGCATGGCTATGCTCTCGAACCTATGGCTCCAAGGAATTTTGGCCAGTTACCTAGCTCATAGACCTGCATGTGAGGGGTCTGGTGACCCAGCCTGGCATGTGATGGGTTTGTGACCCAGCCTGTGAATGGGCTTGAGGGGTCTATGAGCTCCAGACCCAGCCCTAGCCCAACAATTGGCCCAGTTGGCAGGATTATGGACAGGCAAAAGAACAATACATCATCTTTCTCAAAGGAATTTTTATGGCTTGCTATTGGGTACAAAAGGGCAAATCAGATAGCCCTTTCCGCAACTACTGTTTCTCAAGTGCCTTCAGCTCAAAATAATCAATATGTCAAATCAACATATTGTTGGTGGCATGTCCGTAACTCCTTCAGTAGTAAAACCCTACTTTAAGTGTGCTTCAAAATCTCCTAGAGGGCTTATTAAGAATGCATTTTCCAGGGCCCAATCCTAGAGATTCTGATCCAGAATGTTTAGGGTAGGACTTGGGAATTTGAATTCTTCTTCTTCTTTTTTTTTTTTTTTTTTTTGGTGGCTGGCTGGTACAGGGATCTGAACCTGTGCCCTTGGTGTTACAAGGCTGTGCTCTAAACAGTTGGAATTTAAATTTTTATTAGGTGCTCTATTAGTTTCTTAAGGCTTCCATAACAACATACCACAAACTAGGTTGCTCAAACAACAGAAATTTATTTTCTCACACTTCTGCAGGCTGGACAACGAAGATCAAAGTGTCGGGTTTGGTTTCTCCTGCAGCCTCTCTCCTTGGCTTGAGGATGGCTGCCCTATCACTCTGTCTTCATATGGCATTTCTCTGAGTGAATGCATCCCTGGTGTCTGTTTGTGTATCCAAATTTCTTCTTCTTAAAAGGAAACCAGTCAGATTGAATTAAGGTCCATTCTAATGACCTCAATTTAACTTAATTACCTCTTTAAAAGCCCTATCTCCAAATACAGTCACTTTCTGAGGCACTAGGGGTTAGGGCTTCAACATATGGATTTTGAGTAAAAACAATTCAGCCCATAACACATGCCCTAGTGTTTCTGACACAGGTGGTTCAAGGACATGCTAAGATAAATATCAATTTGGACTCTAGAAAAACTAAATATGCACAGTCACTCAGACATTTAATTTTATGTAGCTTAGAATGTGTGGCCATTTCCAGGAGGGTCTTGTTATTTTACTCCTAGAGCAGATTATTATTTGGTTTCCATCCTTATTGCCATCCCTATCTACCCTCTAAACAAAGGTCAACTTACTTTTTGTAGTACCCTAAACTATGGAAAGAGTGATCCTGTGTAGGACACAGATTCAACTATGAATTTAATGCTAAACCATTTTTCCACCAACTAGTAGAACTATTTCCCCACCTGAAAACTCCAGCCTCTCCCTGACTTATCCACATAAATATTCCTAATAAAAATTGAACCCCTTTTTCCTCCTATTACACCCCCGTACTTCCATTCACCATTCCTTCATGCTTTCCTCACTCACTGCCCTTCAGTTAATTAGCAGAAACTGCTAGTGTGAGCAGAAGTGATGTGAACATTTCCAAGTCTGTGCTTTCAGGTCTTTGATCAAATAATCCTCATCAGGGAGCCTTCCCAGACCAAGCTACATGAAATAGCCTCTCCCATCCACCCTGTTGACCTCTATCTCCTCTGCTTTTTTTCCTTCACAATCACCTCCTGACCTAATGCCTGCTTTTCCCCATTAGAATGTAAGTTCCATTTTGTTTTGCTCACTGCTGGATCCCCAGTGTGTAGGACAGTGTCTGGAATAGAGACTCAGAAAGATGAGTGTCCTTTAGGTGATCTTGCATTTCTTCTGTGAAGTAAAAGGCAAGATCTTCTGCTTGGAAGGAGTTGTGGGGACGGTAGGACAGGGGGTCTGAGAAGAACTGTGAAGGTTTGAAGATCCTTTACGATTATGGGAGAAGATTAGACAGAATTAAAGAGAAGTTGGCTGGGCAGGGTACAGCTAAATGTGGAGCCCATGAATGTCTCCAATCTATACTGCTGTGTAATCACAGCTTGGAGAGAGGACAAAAGTGAGGGCAAAATGGTTATTTTGATTCTTTAGTGACCACTCCTGCTCCTTAGCATAACACTTTAGATCTTTTACATTAAGTCCCTATTTACTCCCCAGCTATTTCTTTTTCTTCCTTAAACATCTTTGTATCTTGGTTTTGCGAGTGCTGTTCCCTGTGCATTCTCACCTTCCCCTGGCTAACTTTTGTCTGTCCTTTAAAAACTCAGCCCAAATATTCAATTTTGAAAATAGTCCGCAATCTCAAATACTATCTCTAGTGCTGTGATCATATTTATTTTAAAATGCATAGTCTTTGAAATACAGATCTAGTTTCAAGAAGCAGCTGTCATTTACTCCATTATCTTGAGCATGGTATTAAACATTTTTGTCCTTCAGTTTCCTCATCTATAAAATGTATATAGCGATAAGACTCAGAGAAATATTAGAAAGTGTCAAATGAGATAATGTACCTATGGAGTACCTTTACATAACCATAACTGCTCACCAAATAGCAGCTATTATTTTAGTTACTTCTCTCTCTACAGGAAGTTCTTTAAAAACAGGGATCGTGTCATGGTCATTCTTCTATTCCTAACACTTGACACAGTGTCTGGCACACTGTAGACACTCAGAATTTTGGAATAAATTAATAATTAATGGAATGAAATAGGTAGTTGAAGATACTAGTAAGGTTTATGAAATTTTTCCTGAGTTAGAATTACAGCAGAAACAAAAAAAAAAAAGCAAAAAAAAAACAAAAACAAAAAAACAAAAAAACAAAACAAAACAAAACAAAACAAAACAAAA